TTTTCTATATATACCGCGGCTAGATGATGAAATAAATTCGTTCTCAATTAACTGTTATCACAGATATTATTTCAGAACCTATTTTCCAAGAACATTTTCTTTCTTTTGAAATTGGAAATGAAACCATAATAGAATGAAAATGAAACCAATCCAAAACTGTTTGTCAAAATATTCAATCAAAACAAAACAAAATTGACGTTTTCTAGGTTGGGTTGTCTTCATATTTTAATATTTTAGGGTGTTGCCAAATTTATTTGGGACTTAACAAAGCCTCATTCATTAATCGACAGTGCATACTAACAGAATTTGAGCCGAGCTTAATATTTCAGCCTAGCTTAACTAAATGCAGCTTAAGCACGAAACGGAGAATATGGCCATAAGAACAATAATAAGATTCGTGAGCGTGTGTTTATGGAACAAGAAAATCAGGAGAATGAGATGATGAGGTTGACAAATTTTTGGCGAAATTTTTCTCGTCCCTCGACTCCTTCCCCAACAAAAAAGCCAGCTTCATTTATGTTCTGAGCTATCTCCAACCAAAGACAATTTCTGGCCGTGCATTGATCAGAAAATTGATTATTTAATTTTTTTCGTAGATCTTCAAAAAATATATTGTGCCTTTTATCAGTCTCGGTTTGGACTCTAGAGTCTAGAGGTAGTCCAAACCAAATCCAAACCTTGTTTTGAAATTGATATTTTTTTATTTTCCTGAACTTTGATTGAATTTCGACCTTCCTCAAATTTTGTCAGTTGTTCAAGATATTGCTGTGCAAATAGATCATCTAAAAAAAGTAAAACAGTGTGCTGTATTGGGGTACCTACATATTAATAATTGTTGATATTTATATTGGTTTCCATTCCCAGCAATCTCCGCAAAATAAAGAAAACGGAAAGGCCCTCACTTTGAGCTTACCATTCAATATTTTGTCTGCGGTGTTGTTGTCCACCATGACCATGAATTTGCCTAGCATTACTTGTTGTATCATGTCTTCTTCTTCTTCCATTTCTTCACTGTTCACTAATTAAACTAATTTTTTTTTAAATTTTCAAATAAATTCAATCAAAATTTAATTTATACAACGGAGAGAAAGAAAAAAATTGGGGTTGGAACTTGAAATCTGTTTAAATTTGGCGCCTTTTGTTCACAGTTTACTTTTTTGAAACGGTCTCCCAGAAGCTTTTAAAACTTTTTGAAGCAGAATCAAATGTGACGTCATCAATGACTCAAGAAAACGAAGTGTTTTGAAACTGTTTCAAAACGCTTTGTCGCAAAAAAATGCCTCAAATAATTCGAAATTCATGACGCGATCGAAAACGTGTTTCTATGGGTCGTGACATCACAAGGCAGTAATATTCGGTTCGCGCCGCCGCCACGCCATGTGCTCCAGGTAGCGCCATTGTCAAATCTATCGTAAATGGCACACATAACAACATAAGCATAATCTAAATCTACCTGCTCGAAGTTCGAAGTGCTCGTCACTGTCAACAGAATTTTGTTGCCGAGTGACGTCACACTAATTGGTCGTTTTAAATGGTTTGCGTAAATTTAAGTATTTATAAAAAATTAACGGCTGATTTTTAATGCTCGATAGTTGGTATGACTAAGTCTTTAGCTCGGTCTTTATTGTAGTAGAACACATTTTTAAAATTAGGCATTCCAGGTTGACGTCATAACCGATCCGCCATTTTAGCTGAGGGGCAAACAAAAGCCAAACATAATCTGATTTAATGTTATTTTCAATGCAAACCGAGAATTTTTGAAGTATTATTTTGTGAAGATGCCTTCGTTTTGTGGCGTTTTTGGGTGCTCCAATAGAGCTGAAAGGGATAAAGTGAGGTTTTTTAGGATTCCAGCAGCATTTAAAGATCAAGGGGATCGCATAAACGAGCTATCAAAAAAACAGCGGAGTATGTGAATTAGATGCCTCAATAGGGGAGATTTGCTTGTAACTTTGTTAAAAATGCTCGAATTTGTTCGAAACATTTTGTTAATGGTAAGTTTTATGACTGTCTTGTTAAAATACAAAACACTTCATCTCGGTACATCAAAAAAGTTGTTTATGTTTCTACAAGTAGGTATATAGGTAACTTTTAATACCTTTTAGGTAGTCCAGCAGAATTTAAGGATACAAACAATCCGGATTGGGTCCCCAGTACAAATTTAGGATATACTACGATAATTGATAGAAGCCCAGAATGAACAAGCCAGTAAGCTAAGCTACATTCCAGATCTGTGAACCGATCAGAACAGTCAAAACGTTTGAGGAGTCATTCTACCACAAATTTATTTTGCTAAAGTTTATTTGTAAGGTTGTTTAGTATCAAACTTTTTTATTTTTTAAACAATTTAGATTCTTAAGCATTATTTTTGTTAATAAATTGTTTGTTTACTATTATTGAATTGAAATGTAAAGTGGCATGTCTGTAAATAAAGATTCTCATTCATTCCATTCATTCACAAAAACTAAAAACAACTTAAAATTTATTGAATAAATCAAAAAACGCAAAAATTCCAAAGCACAAACTCAAAAAACATTGTAAACAATGATTTATAGGCTTTGTTTGCCCCTCAGCTAATATGGCGGACCTGTCAAAAGTCACGTGACCTGGAATGCCTAATAAAATAAAAAATTTGCAAGTTCCCTATTATGCGTGAAAATATTGTTAGTAGGTACCAGTTATACAGAGTTAGTAAGCGCGCGGTGGTCCATATTTCCTAAACTAACGAACGGAGATCGGAGAAAAAACTAAATCCAAAACTTGTAGATAAACATGAGTACGACATTCTTAAATTATTTTCCAGTATACAGGGTGGCCCAATAACTAGTAGTGACACAAAGTTATGTTTTCTTAAATGACTCTCCCTGTATATCATGACATTTCTGAATTCTGCGGAAAATTCTAGACATATTTCATGTACAATGTCATATATCTATCTTCAACTGTTTCGGAAATATTGACAGTTGAAAACTGACTTTTTTGCATCTTTGACAGAGTGTTAAACCTGAACGGTTAATTTTACAAGAAAACGGATTTTATATTCCTATCTTATTATAGTTTTCCATAAACTATCATTTGGCACCAATCTTGAATTTAATCCATGTTTAAAAATTCCGCCTAAATTATTAATCTTCGGTTAAATTCAAAGTTGGTGTCAAATGATAGCTTATGAAAATCTAAGATGAGAATGTAAAATCCGTTTTTCTCTAAAATTAACCGTTTAGGTTTCACATTCTGTCAAAGATGCAAACTGTCAATATTTCCGAAACAGTTGAAGATAGATATATGACATTATGCATGAAATATGTCTAGAATTTTCCGCAGAATCCAGAAATGTCATAATATACAGGGGGAGTAATTTAAAAAAACATAACTTTATGTCACTCCTAGTTATTGGGCCACCTTGTATACTGGAAAATAATTTAGGAATATAGTACTCATGTTCATCTACAAGTTCTGTATTTAGTTTTTTCTCTGATCTCGGTTAGTATAGCAGATATGGACCACCGCGCGCTTGGTGACTCACCCTGTATATGTATTATTTATAAAGCATAATAAATGTTCACTTTTTCACTTAAAACTTTGGTTTTCTTCTTTTTTTAAAAGTTTTATACAGCTGATACTTTTTTATTTTGTTTCTTATGGCCATTTCCACCAACTATTTTAGGGAAGCCCTAACGATAGGTATGCCCTAAACTGACATTTTTCCATGTAAAAATGTCATTTTAGGGAATACTTATCGTTAGGGCTCCCCTAAAATAGTTGGTGGAAACGGCCATTACTGTTCCATGTTGCTTTACGAAGCTCCTAATTAAAGAATTAACGAAAATTTCAAGATCTTCCAATTTACCCTAACTTCCCTGATAACTTGGGACAGCCACTAATTAATTTTTTTTTCGGCTTTGTACTTTTTTTTTAAACTATTAAATATGTTTATATTTATAGGAAAATAACCTGACATTTAAGCATGATTTAGAAATGATTTTCCTAAATTTATCAAAGTTATCCAAGCTTGAATGTCAAAATTGTCCCAAGTAACCCCGTTTGACGGTAATGAATTAAATTAATGTATAATAGACCGAGAGATTTTGGAAATTTTTATTGTACTACTTTTTGTTGATTGCAACTGTACCTACATTGCGAACATTGTACTGTGCGATGGTACAATCCATGTTGGAATACTCATCGGTTGTTTGGTAACCCCAATATGCTGTTCACATTGCAGCTCTAGAAACAGTTCAGAATAGATTTCTGAGGGTGGCTGCTTATAAGTTGGGCTTGGCTTATGATGAGTAGGTATACTTATGACGGGATAAGGGCTTTCTTGAGTGGTCATACCTTGCAAAGCAGGATACTTCAGGCGGGCTTTTCTTTCCTTTACAAACTTTTAAGGGGATTAATTGACTGCCCAGATCTTTTGGGTCTTGTTTCTTTGAGAGCAAGAGAAAGAAGGATGGAAGGTTCTGACCTGTTGTATGTACCATTCCATAGTACTAACTATGGTATGAATGAGTCGATCTCAAGGGTGCTCGCTCAGGTTTGCCAACTCAAGGAGCCGGAGTATTGACATCTTCGGTTGTCCTTCTACTGTTGCCTTTAAAAGGAGATTGTTACCGTTATAAAACTAGCTACAAGATGAAGTCAACTGTCTCTCTCACTATCGACTCGCGATCCAATAAAAATATTACCAAATAGAATTAGTGCCAATCCATAATGGTGTTCTATAAGAAACAATTTTACAAACAAGGTAAATAATAAAGTCATCTGGTTACAGCACTAGGTAGGTTATACCTATATCGAATATCAATTTTAGAACTTCTCTGCTTTGAATGACTCATATTTCAGTAATCTCCCAATGATGGCAATGCCGAACGATTTTCTTGATGCCAATAAACAATAAAAACCTGTGGGATTAGGTTGCTAATTTTATATCGATTTGAAAATATTTTGACCATATCATGTAGTTTTCTATTGAATAATTTATGATAAATAAAACCACATTGAATATTAAAAGAATTATTTATTGCAACAAAATAGTATCTACCTAGTATAAAAACAAACAAAACGAAATGATAAAATTGTGATAACTTATCATAAAAATTAATTTAAAATTTGCCTCAAAAACAATAAAACGATCAATTTTCACATTCTGTTGTCTTTCAACCAATTCACCAACATCTCCAAATGCTTCTTTTTCCATTTTATCCTCACCTTCATCTGATCTACTGACGTTTGGAGTATTGAAGAAACCGTCTTTAAGTCGTTTTGATGAATTTTGTAGAAAGTTGTTAACTACAAAAAAAAAAATTAAGTGAATAATACATTCAATCAAATCATTAAGATCTATTACATCTTCCAAATCGATTTCGGTGGATAATTGAGAAACAAAATGATGAAATATGGTACCAAACACTGGAAATATTTCCTCGTACGTTTCAAATATCCTGTCCCAATTCAATCTCAAAAATTGAAACCCTGTCCTAACACCAACTGGATGGTTAATGGATTTCCACACGTTTTGGACATTTTCCAACGTCATGTTACCGGTTAGGGAATATTCCAGATATCTACAACAACCAACAAGATGATGAATATTGAAATTTATTATCCAAACGCTTACCTATTAATCAACCAAGGATCATAAGTACATCCCAAACTTAAGTAGGCCGTTTCTAAGTCTCCTGGCTGTATTGATGGAGACAGTGTTCGATTCCATAAGAAATCCCATTCTTCTGGACCTCCTGTTCTTATGGCAGAACATTGGACAATGTATTTGTAGTCAACGTTGATACTGAAAATTGTTGTAAAATTTGTTTTAAATGAAGCCCCAACAAAAATTTTCTCAAACTATTCTGTATGCGGTTTTTCAGACTGTTGTCAATAAATTGATATTACTCACATGTGGTTTGTATTTGGAGCGTCCATTTTCATCCATTGATCGTACAATGATCTGGCCCACTGAGTACATTTCCAATATCTCAATTGGCAAGCGGACGTCACTATCAACAGTCTCAATAGTTTTTCATTTTGGGTATCGCCTGGTTCTTCCGAGGTTCCTAGCTGATCGAACATTGGTTTGATGAGCTTCAAGATGAAGTTATCGTAGATGCCTGAGTATTCATAGTTACTTATGATCACTCTGGAATAGATGGGTGAGCTTAAGTCATTTTTTTTTATTTACAAAGTGAATCTGTTTCTATTATAATATTTATTTAGCTTCGCCTATACTCGAGAATTTTCTTTATCTCCTTTTCTAGCATTTTCTAAATAGCTTCATTATATTGACTGCTATATTGAATTGAGACAGACTCTAGTAGAACATAGACTGGCTCTTCAATTTCAAGCTACAGAACCTTATCTACTTTTTCTAAAACAACTTATTTAGTAGTTAGTACCTTAGTTCCTCCATGTTCCTTAGAGCCGCATACCAAGGCAAATAATTCTTTTCCGCGTTGGTCAGATAATTCACCAAATTAAATGCTACAGTGTAGTTTATGTAGCCTACATTGGCCAGTTGAAAAGCGTCGTCAATTAAATGCCCTCTATTCGAAACGGGGATTTTGTTGGAATTTCTTTTCAATTGCTGTGTGAGGAGGTGCCAGTTGTGAAGATCGTAATTTACTCTGAAGAAACCTTCAAGGGAAAATATGTAAAAACAAACAATAAATCATAGTGAATTGTTTAATACCTGTTTCATCAATATTAATCAAAATCCAAGAGTCATTCGTTAAATTAGTTAAATTTAATTCGCTTTCTCTTACATTTTCCAACCAAAAACTTTCCACGTTCTTTTCTTCTTTAGTGATATAGTTTACAGGCACGTACCATAAATCATCTGAAGTAATATTCAAATCTTCAGTCATTTTCCTTTGATTTATGGTAGCCATCCCTATATTAAATAATTAAAATGAAAATCTTTTCTATTTAATAAATAGATGTTTTCCAAACCTGTACTATAGTTCCTTTTCACGGATATACATGGATAACCACTCTGAGTGGTCCACGAATCCATAAGAGCTTTAACAGTAATATTTTCTGGTATAAGGCTCTGGTTATGGGCACGTTTAGTAAATAAACCCCATAAATCATCTTGATTTGTAGCTTTGAAAGAACTATAAGTAGGTAAATTTTAAATTAATTCGTTTTTTGATTGATTTTTCATTTATACTCACAACTTCTTCAAGTAATTATGTAGCCCTTTCTGGAAAACATCCTTGGTCAACGTGTAATTGAGCATCTTTAAAATGCTGCTGCCTTTTTTGGTCACAATGTAGGTATCGTAGATTTGCTCGATTTGCGCATTACTACTTACCTTATTCTCTATGCTGGTTGTAGACTTAAGACTGTCGTAATATAGAGTCGTGTAAGCGTTGCGCAGTTGTAGACTACTGTAGACGTGCCATCTAGGCCTCAACTATAGAATAATCGGTATTTAGATGTCTTGCATTCCAATATGACATACAGAATTGTATGTATCATGTATTTTTCGCACCAATTTCTTAATTATCGAGATTGAGCCTTTATTTATTTACTTTATTGTAGTGCAAAATTAGTTTTTAATTAGGTCATGTAAAAGTGCGGTAATACTGTAATATGGGACGTTTCATTTGCAACTTGATATTTGAAACAATTTCAAATCATAGTCATTACAAGATAGTTGTAGATGAAATAACTTCACTTTATATCGGGTGTCAACGACTCTATTAGGCAAGTCATACAGTCTAGACTAGAGTGTTAATTGTAACCAAATGATATTTGGTATAGGTAAATGGTGTAGGAACCCTGTATATTTTCACATTTTTGGAATTCTGAGACGAGACAATTCTGAATCAGAATGAGATATTTTTAAAAGTTTTTACCAACTTCTTGATTTTTTTTAGAGCCACTTTCAATATTGCATGTAGGTGGCCATGATTGGAGTAATGAAGTGACTGACAAGGAAGGTGAAAAGAAAACCGATGATTTTGAAGGTAAAGTTTAAGCTTGATGGTTTGATCAATTCAATGGATCCTTTCATTTTGTTGGCTATGTCTGCAATGATAAAATGGGCATCGTAGCCGCTCAAGTTATGAAACACCACAGATATCACGTGTGAATCTTGTTGATTGATGCTACATGGCGACGAATGGGCAGCACCTCTGTAGTTGTTGTTAGGAATCAAGTGGTTGTGATCTCGAACTTTATCACTTGGCGAATTGAACGGGTGCTCGCAGATGTAACAATGTGTAGCTTTCTGGAACTCTGATTCTTCTGCTTTAATCATATCAATGTCGTAGGGACACCAGAATACAAATGCGATATTTTCTGCTAACTTTAGCCATCTCATCAGCGAACTACTGCATACATTCTACACCACGGAATGACTTGTAAAAGGATAATGACTTGTTAATTTTAACAAAGGATCTCAAAAGTAAATAGAAAGAAAAGAGACCGGTGATGTTGAGTCTGTAGCAATGCATGGCAAAGAAGCTAAAAAAAAATCTGAAGTAGAAAAAGAGGAAAAGGAAAATGTTTTCAAAGCTGAAGGTGAAGGATCTTAAAAAGTACTTGAAGTGTATAAAGGGGATAAAAAACAAGGAGATTCATCTAACAAAAATGTTGAAGCACCCAAATATGTAGCCAAAGAAATTCCAATTGAATTAATTCAAGTTGAAAGTAATAGTAAATTGGATGATTCTGTGATTAGAAGTAGGTAGTTAGAAGACTGAGTACCTAAATCAAAAAAAATTATATATTAGAAAAAGTCGACATAGAAACTAATGAAGATGCTGTCATTGTGCAAGAAGAAAATCTTAAAGAAAGCATGGAGGAGGAATGGGTCGTAGTAAAGAAAAGGAGGAAGAGAAAATCGCCGAAGAACCTGACAAAGTTTTACAAGTTACAGAACCAACTAAAAAAGACACTTTCGTTTCTGATTTCATCCAAAGAAGTTGAGCATCAAGAACAAACCGAGGCAACCGAGCATTCAGCTACAGCGAAACCAAATTTTTCATGACCTCTGGTACCAGAACCTGATTTCAAATTTAAAAAAAAATGATACAGCCGTTATCGATTTTAGTAGCCATGAGATACGTGACGGAGATGAAGTGGAAAATATTGGTAGTGATAAAGAAAAGGATAACATTCAGGCCCTTCCTTATTGATGAAGCTGACAAAAATCTTAATGGAAAATACTATCAGTGAGAAAAGAGACAGAGAGAAAACCAACGAAATCAAAGGAACCAAAACCAAACAAGTAATTTCTGAAATAGACACCAAACTTCAAGACCTCAAAAAGGAAGTATCAGTGCCTTGGGGACAAATCAAATTAGACAAAGTTGGAAAAGACCTAACTAAAATCTGGCCAGCCTGATATCAAACAGAAATTAATATTAGCAAAATTGATAACCTTATTGGGTTAAATGGTGAAAAAGAAGAAGTTATTGTTGCTAAGTCTACTAAAAGTGCGGAATCATGCAGATTTAGCAATCAGTTAAAAAGCTGAAGTCGTTGAAAAATCTACGAAGGACCCGGATCATGCAGAGCAAGCAATCACTGAAAAAGCTTTAAGTCCTCGTAAAAAAATCCACGATGATAAAAGACGATGGACACTTTTGCTTGAAGCTTTAGACATTGACATTAGAATTGGGGCGTAAGTCCCCAGCAGAAAAAGAAGATGATGTTCAACTTATCGTCACCAGTGTAGCAGAAGTACTCAAATCAGAAGAATTTTCAGAGGAGTTTGCAAGTATTGTCCGTTGATTTTAATCTGATACTCGGACGGAATGCGAGCTGGTGGCTCCCTACATTAGAACACCAATGGTTACCTGACATCATACCTGTTTTTGCCATATGAAACACCCCCTCGGTCCTCATACGAAAAGTGTCAGTTAAAAATCGACGAACAATAAGCTACCTTTCACCCAAGAACTATGAGAGATTCATATATGGAATCTAAAAGTATTAAAGCCGAATATATTATACCTCCAATTCCTGAATAAGAAATAAATGTAATTAAAGAATGTCAGTAACAACATCTAGTGGAAATGGAGGTGAAAAAATCGAATTATGCCCTGACGCATGAACTATCACCTCTTCGAAAAGCTCTGGCAGATCATCTCTGGAACTATCACAAAAAACTGACTCAAAAATCCTCAATTCTTGAATAATTATCTGAAACTCTTTCAACCATAAAACAAGTAGCTGGAGCTGGTAGTGAAGTTGAAGCTTCTAGTAATGTTCACGTGGTAGAAGAATGGGAGAAAAAAGTGGATAATTAAAAAAAAAAATTGAAAATTTCACTGTAGTAAATGTGCAAAGTACATTCCTCCTTGTTCACACCATATTTCAGCTCATTTGGTTGTTCCTCTTAACATGTTTTGCAACATTTCAGGATAAATACATTTGGAATTCTTTCTTCTAAGATTTCAAGAGTGGTTGAGGCAGTTGCATAGACCCTTATTTCTTTAAAATATCCCCAAATAAAGAAATCTAGCACAGTGAGATCCAGTAAGGTGGCAGGCCACCATACTTGACCATTGGTTGTAATAACTTGATTATTGAAGTTCTCCATCAAGTGATTAATAACTTCTCTGGCGATGGTCTATCTGGTTGAAAGTAAATTCGTCGTAAAACTACTATAGGTGCATTATTAAGATGATACTCGATCTCATTTTGAAGAAATTTGAAGTACCTAACCCCTGTTAGCTGACCTTGAAGCAATATGATCGCAGTTGAACGTTCCTTTGAATCATCAACCTGCACAGTGCCGGACAACGAAGTCGAACAAGGCTAGGGTCAGCGTACGGTGTGAGAACACCAACAACTTTGTTGCGGCGATCTCTATACCACCATCTTCCAAGGCGGCAGTCTATGATAACCTCGTTACCGCAGTAAGTTAGGTATATGCTAGACCGATTTCCAAGGACCAAAGTTTTATTACTGGACAATTCCAACCTACCTAATTATGCAAACTCATTAGTAATTTGCCCAAGTTGAAATTTCTGAAGGACATGATAGCGTTAACAACAATTGCCCTACTCTATGAACTGCTAATAGTGACGGTGATTTTGACAGACTATTCACCTCCAGTGATCAGTGTGAACAAATTCTTTATGACTGTAGATGTTTTTATGGTCTTGTCCAGTACAACAATGTAACTCTAATAATGCAAAGCTGAACCTAGTTTTCTCATATTTCTTACCTGTGTAATAATAACATGTCACCTTTAACCGGTATTGATACCCATCATCCTGCTTTGGCAATTAGTTTCTGTATTGGCACTGTGGGAGATAGCTCATCGGATTTACAACTTTTCAAGTACAGGTTTTATAAAGCAAACTACGATCAGGTAAATGATTTGGTAAAAAAGTTTTTTTCCGGACTATAATGCCGTGTTCTAGTAATATTTCTACCTAACGTTTCGTCTACTGCTGCGGTGGACATCTTCAGAGGCGGTGAGGTAGCGGACGAAGTGTTTTTTTTTTTCGTTGAGGAAAACCACCTATTTAAAATATCATTTCTTTGAATCTTAACTTAAAAAAAAAAAACATTTACTGAATAAAAGTAAATGTTGCAACCATGTAATGCGCCGTCAAGTAGGGGCGAACCTAGAGGCATCACAGAAAAACAGCGTACGACGGGTAGGTAAAAGAAAGAAGCGACTAGACAAGAGGAGAAGTGGAGCTCTGGGCTGGTCCCTTTAGACCGTTTGTCCGCCATTGTTCATCTTTTAATTGTTATTTTGTATTAAACTGATTGTTCAATCCAATTTGATTAGTGTGTGTGTTAAGGAGCGATCACAGATCAGTTAAAAAATTGTTATTTTGTTTTTGAGAGTTCAATTTATACAAGTAGGTATTATTTGTTTTCCATTTTTATGTTTTTTTGTTTGTTTATAACATTTTTTTTATAACATGTGCATTGTTCATATATTTAACAAAAATCGTTTCCTGCTGTAAACAACACAGATAAAGAACCAAATTAAAACCCAAGAAACATGGGCGCCGCCAGGATTACTTTCAGGGAGGTGCATACGGGCAGTGGCGGCGCGTGGATTGTTATATTGCCAAGCCCAAAAACGGTTATTTTGAGCTTTCAGAAAAATAATTTTTCTAGGTGATTGAGTAAGTTATATGATGTTTACACCTCGGTGGAAAGTGGCAGATCTAGGGGCGAGTGGCCCTCAGGGCAAAATATATTTAGGGGCCCCTAGACCTAACCCTATCCCTTGAGCAGGGGAGCACCCAGAAAATATGTTTGGGGAATGGGGGACCTTACAAAGGTTGTGGTTTGTGTCTAAAAATCTTAATAAAAAATCGACGTGTCACGCCATGATGTCAAACTTTTTTGTTCGTAGAAATACAGTTTTGGGCAAGCGGCCTAGGGGGGCCCTGGACTGATACCCCCCCATAGGTGCGTCACTGTCACTTGAAA